GGTTTGATTCCTCAGCACCACATAAGCAAAAAGAAAAAAGCCGGAAGTGGCGCTGTGGCTCAAGTGGTAGAGCGCTAGCCTTGAGCTGAAGGGCTGAGGGACAGTGCCCAGGTCCAGAGTTCAGGCCCCACGAGTGGACCCCCCCCAAAAAAAAGAAATGAGATATTAATGTTAAATATCTGCACTGGTATGTTTATTATAGGGCTATTCATACAAGCCAAGATACAGAATCAACCTAGGTATCCATCAACAGACAAATGGACTAAAGTTTTCTTTCTTTCTTTCTATCTATCTATCTATCTGTATGTATGTGCATATGTATATATATACATACATATGAAATTCATAGAAATGAAAATTTGTCATTTGTATGCAGTAACATGGATGAAACATTGTATTAAGTGAAATAAGTCAAACACAGACACATACTGCATGATCTCACTCTTATGTAGAAGCTAAAGGAGTTGATCTCATAGAAGTAGAGGATGTAATAGTGGTTACCAGAGTGTGGAAAGGGTGTAGGGAAGAGGGGCTGGAGAAAGGGTATGCAGATGGGTAGGAGTAATTCCTAGCATTTTTATAGCACAGTAGGATAGATATGAGGGACAATAATTAATTGAATAATTTAAAATAGCTAGTAGGGAGGTATTGGAGGTATAGCTTAGTTGGTAGAGTTCTGGCCAATGAGCAAAAGTGTCAGGTACCGAGTTCGAGTACCGCTCTTGGACAAAAAAAAAAGCTAGTAGGGGATTGTGACTCTTCCCAGTACAAAGCAATAATAAATATCTGAGGTGATATATATATGCCAATTACTCATCATACATTGTATGCACGTATTGTAACGTCGCACTATATCTCATAAATGAATACAATGAATATAAATTAATACAAATGAATAATTGATTGAGTCAATTAAAAATTACAAATGCTTTTAAAAGAGAGAAAATCAGGACAGCAGTCTTAGAAAGTCATTTTCATTGTTCCACCCCTAAATGGAAACTTAAAATGGTTTTCGTTTCTGATCAAATAGTCCTGCTCTCCATAAGTATATTATACTAAATACTGTAACTATATTATACTAAATACTGCATTAAAATATTTTCGGTAATTTTTATAAAGTTACATCTTTTAGAATTTCTCTGATGTTGTATCCCAGACTTTCCTTAAATAGTGTATTGTTTAATGCAAGAGGTCAATAGATTATGTAGTTTATAGATTCTTCTCTTTCTCAAAGTTTATTACTCTTGTAAGTTTTATGGGAAATTTGTGTGTGTGTGTGTGTGTGTGTGCGCGCGCGCACATAATGTGCACACACACTAGTAGTAGGGCTTGAACTCAGGGCCTTGTACTCTTCCTTAGCTTTTGTACTAAAGGCTTGTGCTCTATCACTTGAGCCACACCTCTACTTCCTTATGGGAGAAATTCCTGTGTATTACCTACTGTTTTGTGTTTTCAAACTGTAAAGTAAGATTGGTTATAGAAAAACTTTCCTACTGTTTTGTGTTTTCCAACTGTAAAATAAGATTGGTTATAGAAAAGCCAACCTGTGTTTATGCAGAGCTCCTTAACAAATAGTGATTGTTTAAAACAATCACAATCCGACTACTCAAAAGAAAGTATAGAATAGTTTTCAGCAGACCCTCAAAGACATTTAGTGTAGGTAATACATGATCAATTTTTTCATGCACTTTTCAGAAGAAGCTGGTTGTGGGTGAAGGGAATACATCACACAACTAAAATCTTACAATCTACCCATCTAATATTTATATAGGAAGTTTCAGTTCTGCATTTTAAACACGTACAAAGAAGGAAATTTAATCTTACTTCTAAAAATGAAATATGAATAATGAGATAAATACTGTTAGAAATATTCCCTTGTAGATGTGAGAGCCAGCCAGGCAATAATGAAGATGACTAAGCAACCTCTGGGATGTGTGACTCAGTGGCTAATGCAACATTTAGCTTCATGACATGCATCTTAGTCAGCTTCATAATAGATTTGTTTCAGAAAAGTAAGTGATTTACAAATGGTGGGAACCATTGATTTTAGCTGATTAAAAATTAAACTCATTGCTTTGACAAAGCCAAGTTAACTGTAGCAGGGAAATTTCACATAAATTCTGCCAATGAATCAGACTATCTTTTATATACACCCTCAATCCTATTTCTAATAAGTCAACAATTAATTAAACACAAAGCCTCTGAATGTCATTATGCAATGAGATTTGTAACCATCATATAATGGAGAATGAAGTTTTAATTAGCAATGTGTAATCTCTTCTAGCAGAACAGTGTGATTATAATTTAGCAACAGGCAGGTTAGGTTCTTATCATTAACACTTCATTGTTAATTTACCATAAGTACCCACTACTTAAAGTCATCATGCTAGCATTTGCTATGTGTATTTTAACTCCTACTGGTTTTCTTCATATGTGTTGTTGTAAGACATATTGCATTTACTTATACAAACCAACTACTTCTTTGTTCCTTTCAAAGACAGCAAACATAGTTTGCCTTTTCTATAGAATGAGATACATTGCTAAGATGGTCACAAGGAGTAAAAAGTTTCAGGAACATAATTTCTAGCATAACTCAACATTACCATGATGTGATAAAATTAAAAGTAGAACTTTCAAATAATTCTAAGAACTTGAGTTTAATAAAGTTAAATTAATTCAACTTAGTATCCATCAAAGATATTATTGTTATACTTTGGGATAGAAAAGGAACTCAGGATATAGTTAGAGAGCTACATATACTTATCCATAGTATGCAACCTTTCTGTAACTACTTTATCATTAAAGTTCAAGCTCTGGAATAGCTGACAGCTAGTAAACTGTTAACTTTTTTCAAAGAGATTCTGGACAGTACACTTATGTGATCTCCTTTGCATTCTTGGTGTGAGTTTCTGGAAACATCAATTTTGACAGTACAGTTATTCAAGACAGCTGTTTTGGAGAAGCTTTTTTTTTAAAGGACTTTTACTAATGAAGCAAATGTTAATTAGTTCACATCCCACTTGAAGATCCAAATTCTACCTCAGATACTAGCTCAATTTCTGTTTCAGTTGTCAAAGACTCCTACTATTAAAGACAAACAATTCAAGTCTATGAAAATAATTATTAAATGTACTATCTTTATACTCTGAAACTATGCTCACAAATAGCTTTTAACAATCTTAAAATATACTTTTTTGAATTTCTGTACATGATAATCCTTGAGGCATAACATTTATTTTAATGGCAATGGCACCTTCTAAACTAGTGGCTTTAAAAGTATTGTCTGGGAGTCTTTTTTTTGTCAGTCATGAGGCCTGAACTCTGGGCCTGGGTGCTGTCCCTCAGTTCTTCAGCTCAAGGAGAGTGCTCTACCACTTGAGCTACAGCACCACTTCCAGTTTTTTAGTGGTATGGTAATAAGAGTCTCACGGACTTTCCTGCTTAGTCTGGCTTTGAACTGTGATCCTCTGATCTCAGTTTCCTGAGAAGCTAGGATTACAGGTGTGAGCCACCAGTGCCCGGCTGCCAAATTATTTTTATAGTATTAAGAGGTTATTTCCTTTTCCCACTGTCATTTTCTCACTATGGAATTTTCTATATCATACAAGATGTTAAAATGTAATGTTCTAACAATGAGTATATATGGATGTTCTTTTTCTGTTCTTTCTTTTGGTTGGTCGTGGGCTTGAACTCGGGGCCTGGGCAATGTCCTTGAGCTCTTCACCTCAAGGCGAGCACTCTAACACTTGAGCCACAGTGCCACTTCCATTTTTCTGGTGGTTAATTGGAGATAAAAGTCTCATGGACCTTCTTGCCAAGGCTGCCTCTGAACAGTGATCTTCAGATCTCAGCCTCCTGAGTAGCTAGGATTACAGTTGTGAACCACTGGTGCCTGGCCAGAATATGGATGTTCTAACAATCTCTATTAATTAGCAAATCAATTCTTACATTTAACAATTAAAAACCTAGCATTTGATATATGTTTTAACTTCTAATATAAGTATCAATTTAAGACACATTTTTCTAACAATCTCTATTAATTAGCAAATCAATTCTTAGATTTAACAATTAAAAACTTAGCATTTGATATATGTTTTAATTTCTAATATAAGTATCAATTTAAGACACATTTTTTTAGGGTCCTCAATAATTTTTTAAATAGTGTACAGGACTTCAATTCCCAACATCACACAAAACAAAATTAACTCTAGAATTTTAAAGCTGAGTATAATTGATTCCAGAACTAATAAGGCTGAAAACAGTAGGATTATAACTTCAAGGTCAGTTTGGGATACATAGTAAGACCTTGTATAAAATTTAAAAAAGATACTGAAATTCCAAGATAATGAAAATTCTTCAAGTTATTAGAAATGGCTATTAGAATAAAAATGAGTGAAGTTGCTACTTAATATCTGCACAAAGTCACCTGCAATATAGCAATATAGCAGAAGTTGGTCAAAAGCACTTCTGATATCTAGAATCTTAAAAAAAGATAATTTTGTCCATTACCACAAGCACTTTACATTTGTTTTCTTTAAGAATTTCAAGGAATTATTTCCAATTAGTGGTAATTACAATGTTTCTATAATGAGTACAATCTATTTGTTGAGTTAAGTAGTTATACTCTAAAATCATCTCACTTCTGAAAGGGAGGTCTGAATAAGTCTAGAAATAGAAAAAGAGGAAGTTTTTGGCATTTGCCCATCTCCTTTAGTTTACAGGCAACCTACAGCCCTTCTCTCAATCTAACCTCTTAAATCCTGCTGTGTGCGTACACCACCCATACTCTGTCTTGGCATTCGAAGAGAAGTCCTTAGAGGTGTGTGTCTCTGTTCATCCAAGTAAGCAAGGTCCTCTAGGTGGGCAGAGCTGGTGGCTGACAAGACAGAAAAATTTATAGTTAGAAAATGTAAATTTAGAAAAGTTATTTGACATATTCTCTATCTCTCAAACTTTAGAATCAAGGCTTACTCCAGTACAAAATACATGTGTAAAATATATAAATTATTTTGTGTCTTTGGAAAATCAAGGAAGCACTGTTCAGAAAAACTTATATAGTTCACTTGTTACTTTATCACAAATACTTGCTAGGAGGTTCTATAACCTTAAACAGAGGAATAGTCATCTGTTGAATAGGAAATTCCTATTCAACCAGGCAAACATAAACAAGCAAACTAAACAAATATAAAAATCTATCATAAAATGAGAGATAATGGTAAAGAGTGTAAGCATTATGCCCACCTTCGGTCCTCAGTTACACTCAGACCTGAGCTTCTTCCTGTCCTGGAGTTCCTGTCATACAGCTGGCCCCTCCCTCTCATGGCCCACACCCACCTGAAATCCCATTTACCTCACTTCCTATCCCCCAGACCCTGGTGCTACCTAGATAGTGGAGGCCGCCATGAACTCTCTCTACGGGGGAAATATGGCTCCTCTAATAAACTTGTAATACTCTTTCTCCTGTGCCTGCCTGCCTCTGCGAGGTCCCCTGAGATGGATCCTTTCAAAAAACTATTTGAGATTTGAAATGGAAAACAATCCAGTAGTTTAGAACGCCATTTTGCTCCTCAATGCCTAAATCATAAAAACTGCAATCAAAGGAAAAGTTTTTTTAAATGTTACCAAAAGAAACAGGAAGTGAGTTTCTACTGAAATTTAACAGTGAAATGAGATTTTTTTTCTATATGAATGTTTCAAATTATAAGAACTACTAAAAAATCAGTTTTATTGTATGAACATATAGTTGCCAACTTATCACCAATGGCTGGCTTAAACAGGTCAGAAATTATGAATGCTGTGCCTCCAATATTTTGCCACCAATTCACAAAAAGTATTTCTGTATCTGAGAAATTTTATTATACACTGAGATTTATAGATAATCTCATGTTATTTTGCCTTGAAAACTATAATTTCTTTATGCCGCCACATATACAATCTTACCTAATAGCTGATTATAAATTATAAAAGAGAGCCTATTAAAGACAAGAACTTCATGTTTACATAGACAAAAAAATTAATTATAAAAGAGCTCTTTCATAAAAGCTTATAAAAGCAAAAGAGGAGAAATTCCATATAATTCTCTCAGCATGAGGAAAAAAGCATGATGACAGTAAGTAAAGTTACATTCCCAACCTACAAATAAGTTGTTTACAGTGATTCATCTTGGGTAATGACAACTTATTCATTCATTTGTACACTCAATATAACAAACTTGATAGTAAAAATCAGTACTGTATCGTAACAATACCTTTACCATGGCTTTTAATCATCAGGCTATTGGAAGAAAGAAAGATGATAGAGCAAACATACTATGCAATAATATAGTAGATAACACTCAACAGAATCATTCTTTTAGAACTAGTAGAGCAGAGTGGACCTTAGGGATTTTTCCATCTGATACTTGTCTTTGGCTCAACTCTATTCTCTTTTTCAAAGTGGCCTGATCATGTCCAGTGGCAGGAACACAAGAATTCCTGAGATGTACTTTTATCTTTGCCATTTTTTTTCTACTAGTAATATGGTTCTCTGTACTTCCCTATCTCCTACTCATCTTTTTCTCTTGATAGTCTAGATGCTTCTTTTTATACCAAAAAGAAAGGAATAACGTTTTAAAAAGTTATTAGTATTGTGAAATGAAATGAGGGGGCTTGGACATTTATTTGTGAAAAACTCATATTTTAGAACATACTTTTCTTGTGTTTTTTTTAAATTTTAAAAGCAAAAAGAACATCAGAAAATAGAAGAATAAAGAAATTTATGAACTTCTTTCCTGGAGAAAGTCTTAGACAATCCCCATTTCCATATAAAAATCCTAATGTGTCATTTCCAGCCTTTCCAATATTAGTTCAATATACTCTTCCTTTTCTTTCTGTATATTCTAAGTACAAATTTTCTTCTTAACTTCACTAAGCTGCTATAAAACATACAGCCATTATATAAATCCTTTTTATTACAATATCCTGATTTCTTAAGTCATAGAGCCCAATACAGAGGCATTTTACAGCTGCTCTTAAAATGGTCATTAATTATGTGATCCATGCCCCCAAAAGACCTTGCATGCATACACCATTTTTTTTCCAGTACTTTTTCGTATGTGTACGCTGGTCCCATGGTGTGAACTCAGGACCTGAGCATTTTTGTTCTAGGCTAGTGCTCTACCACTTGAACCACAGTTCCACTTCCACTTTTGTTTTGTGGGGTTTTTTTTTTTGGTGGTTAATTAGAGATAAAGAGTCTCATGGACTTTCCTGCTATGGCTGGCTTCAAACCTTGATCCTCAGATCTTAGCTGCCTGAGTGGAAAACAGGTGTGAGCCTAGCCAGTATTGTTTTGAACTCACACTTGCTAAGGTGGTTTTCTATTATATGAAAAAATAATTAGGAGCTGCAGAACTGGAAAGGGGGGGGAGGGAGGAAAGGAGGGGGAGAGAGAGGGAGAAGAGAGAGAGAGAGAGAAAGAGAGAAGGAATGAATACTGGGGCTTAAACTCAAGGCCTTGAGTGCTCAGTTTTTTACTCAATACTGGCAACTCTATCACTTGAGCTACATAAAGATGGTAATGATGACAACAGTGATAACAATTCCTGATGTAGCCTTAGGAATAGTTATTAATCTAAAAGAAGAAACCCTACTTGTAGGCTCAGTGAGATGTCAGTTAAGAATTAATTTTAAACAGAAGTCTTTTAAAAAAAACCTTCCTCTGCTGCCAAGGGAACAAAACTGCACAAAGTTCAGAGACTGTAGTGCCATACTTTCCAGATATAAACATGTATATATCATGACACTTGGAATAAGGTAAATATATTTGGGGACAAGTAATACTGTCTTTGCTCTTCCTGAACCTCTCCAAAGCCAACAAACCACATGAATTTTAGTAAGGAGCTCACCCTCAATTTACATACCACAGAATACTGGGGTGCCTTAGACTTGTAATACCAGCCACTTGGAAGATAGAAGGATCATGGTTTGAGGCTACCCTGGTCAAAAAGTTAGTGAGATCTTATCTCACTAAAAAAGCAACCTCCTCCTTCTTTCCTTCCCTCCCTCCCTCCCTCCCTCCCTCCCTCCCTCCCTCCCTCCTTCCCTTCCTTCCTTCTTTTTCTTTCTTTCTTTTTTTTTTTTCTTTTTGTCAGTTGTAGGGCTTGAACTCTGGGCCTAGGCGCTGTCCCTCAGCTATTCAGCTCAAGTCTAGCACTCTACCACTTAAGCCACAGTACCACTTCCGGGTTTTTGTTTTCTGCTTATGTGGTGCTGAAGAATTGAACCCAGGGCCTTATGCATGCAAGACAAGCACTCTACCACTGAGTCACCTTCCCAGCCCCCTCATCTCTAACAGCTACAAAATAAGTAATTTAAATACCTAAGAATAATAATTTATCCAAGAGGCCAAAGAAGTTTATAATGACAACTAAAAAATTGATAAAGTGAACACAAAAATAAAGGACTCAAAAATAGGAATACATCATGTATTCATGGATTGGAGGATTCAATATTGTTAAAGTGTCTATATTACCTAAAACTTCTTGAATCAATGCAATCCCTATCAAAATTCTCCTCAGAAGGCATATACTACCTAACTCCAAAATATACTACACAAAGCTGTATAACACAACATAGTATTACATAAAAACAGACAAATAAATCAAAGGAACAGACTGTGAGCCTAGGAGGAGAGACACACATTTAAATACTGACAAAGTGCTAAGAATACACACTGGTATTGGCTATGTATGTATGTATATATGTACGTATGTATGTATATATGTATCTATCTATCTTTTGTTTTATTCAGCTTAGCTCAGATATCTATCTTCTCTTGCTGATTGTAATAGCTTCTCAAGAAAAAGAGGCAATGTCTGATTGATTTTTAATCCATCACTGCAGAATAAAAACCGTACAAATAGTGCTCAGCATAAAAATGGATTCTTAGACTTATTTTATTTAGTTCTATTACTTACTGCTTTGCTTTCTTAATGCTTAAGAAACATCAATGTAGTAATCAGAGTATCATACTCTGATTCTTTTACCTTTTCCCACAGCATATAACACTATCATTTTATATAAATTATTTATTATGCCTATTTTCTCAACCTATGTAATATAAGCCCCATAATGCCATGTGGGAATTTTTGTTCTGCTAATTGATAATAGGTAAGTGCTTTGAACAGTGCTTGGCATACAGTACATAATAACTTTTTTTTTTTGTCAGTCATGTGGCTTGAACTCAAGGCCTGGGCGCGGTCCCTAAGCTCTTTTGCTAAGGCTAGCGCTCTACCACTTTGAGCCACAGCACCACTTCTGCACACTAACTTCTTGAGCTAATGATTGAATACATACACAATGAATTTCAGCCATATTTAAACAATCACAAATTCATTTTTGTCTTATGAGAAAATGTGAAGGAGTTGGCTGTAGTGATAATGCCTGGAGCATCACCTCTTCTGAACAAAAAGGGCAATGACAACTCTACAGAAACACATATATTCCCATGTCATAATGCCATACATTGTGCAATTGTAGGTTGATTTAATGTTGTACTATTTATGGGCCTAGCATGATTCTGCTGTACCAGAATTCTGCTACACAAATTTTGTATTTAATGAACATCTACCAGGTATCAGAGATAATTAGGTAAATCCAAATGAATTGAGGAAATAGAAAAACAAATCTGCAATTAAAATGTTTATGTAATAGGAAATGCTTAAAGGGAGATTCATAAAATCAGTCACTAAAAAGCTTTTTTATTTTTTTTAGAGGAGAAGGAGGGAAAAGAAAAACATTTTTTTGTTTTTTGTTTTGAGATTGGAACAGCTAAGGACCACTCACAGAGTATGGAACTGATGTACATTTAAAATATAGTTTAAATATATTACAAGTGGGCAGAAAACAAACTGATACACATTTAAGAAGTTAGTTTAAATCTATCACAAGTGCATAGGAAATAATCTAGTGGACAACATTTAGTATAAAGCATTTCAGAAACATGTTTATATGAAGTTTGGTGCCAGTTTTCACTATTCCTTCTTTTGTCAATTATCACAAATGCAAGCAAATTACAGTAGCACATTGTCATTGGGGCTGTTCCGAGCAGTGAGTCTGGAATGACACTTTTGTTTGCTATGTTGAGACAAAAAGCCACTCTGCTCTACTTATATCTCTGGCTATTTAGAAGCCAACATTTTGACTGCTTAATAGCCCATTTTTGATTTTTTGTAAGAGCTGTACTATGGGTGCCGATTAGATTCATTAAAAATCTTCCAGAATCCCACTCTGAATTTGTCTGATTCTTCAGATCCTTTTCTTAAAAAAAGTGCATAGCTCCAAGTATTAACAAATAGATGGTGAGAGATTATATTTTAAACTGACTTTTGTTGTTTCCCAAATAGACCCCTTATTCTTACACAAAGAACTGATGACAGCTGTTACAAACATTTCCTGCTTCCCACATCCCTAAATTCATTGCCAATATTACTTTAAAGCATCAAGGATGACTACAAAACAGCCTACTCTGATTAATTTCTGTCATGCAACTGCAAGTCCACAATGGTCTTCTATTTCCTTTTAGCACACAGGCTTAGAAGAAAACATATATTAGCATTTACAGTGTGAAAACAAGAGAAACTCATAGCTTAAAGCTTTTAATATTTTAGAATTTAAGGGTGTATGAAATCTAAATTTATATTCAGAAAATGATACTTCAGGAAAACCCCAATCTTTAATGTAGTAGATTGGCATCCTCGGTCACATTCCACTGGAGTTGGAAATAATACTATACTCCAATGTGAAATATGGAGCGTTTAATTGGTGCAATAAAGCCTAAAGAGTTAACTTGTTTTAATCTTTGTTTTTAAAGTATATAGATGGGTATATTTGATCAATATATTTATACCTATAGTTAATAAAATACACATTATTTTAAGATATTTTTGAGTAGAATGTTACAAATGAGGAAAAAAATTGGGAACAAAATTTAAATATTTCTCTATAAACATTTGAATATATGCTGACTCCACTGTTCTTGCAAGTAACAAAAGCCAGGAGGTCCAAGGATTGGGAGTCTGGTTAGAGCAGTGGTAAAGCAACAACTCAGCATGTGTGATGATTAGAGGCCCTGAGGTTCAACCCTCAGCCTGAAAAGGGGAGGAAATAACATAACCTCAAACCCTGAGTCCTTTCCATTCTTTTCTTTTGGCTGGTGGTGAGGCTTAGGCACTGTCCCTGAGCTTTTATGCTCAAGGCTAGTGCTCTACCACTTTGAGCCACAACTCTACTTCTGATTTTCTGGAGGTTAACTGTAGATAAGAGTCTCATGGACTTTACTGCCTGGGTTGCGATCTTCAGATCTTAGCCTCCTGAGTAGCTAGGATGACAGGCATGTGCCACCACCACCCAGTTCCATTTTTTAAAAAAAAATCAAGTGTCTTGGCCTTATTGATAATAGAGTTATTATTCCTTAGGGTTCAATTCAGAAGCAGCCTAAAGGATTTTAAAATATTCCTATATTTTAAAATATTCCCATATGTGCCTAGTGGTCCTATAATGATGTCAAAACACTCAGATTTCCTAAAGATAGGAGAACTCTGTATTATAACACAGCAAAGCTCTCTTAACAATTATTTCCCAAGGTTTTAAAAGTTTTTTAAATAGTATTTTAACTTTTTTTTTAAATTCAGGACTTCAAGCTTTGTGCTTATTAGCTTGGCTGGCACTATACTACTTGAGCCATGGTTCCAACCTAGGGTTTTTTGTTTGTTTTTGGAGCTGGTACTGGGGCTTGAACTCAGGACATAAGAGCAGTCTCAACTTTTTTTGCTCAAGATTAGTGCTCTATCATTTGGGTTACACTCCACTTCTGGCTTTTTGGTGGCTACTTAAAGATAAGAGTCAGACACACTTTCCTCCCAAAGCTGGTTTCCAACTGTAATCCTCAGATCTCAGCCTTCTGAGTAGCTAGGATTACAGGTATAAACCACTGGCACTCAGCATGGCACATTATTACTTAAGCCAGCCTTCTACCTTCAGCTTTTGTTGGTTAATTGGAGATGAGTACCTTAATATATAAATTATGTTTTGTATTTTCCTATAGACACATGCATTATAAATGTATATGAAGAATCTAAAGAAATATTCATCTTTGGAATGAAATAAAAGGTTAATGAGTAATTTATACTTTTATTCACTCTCACAAGGTTTTGCTATGTAACCCAGGTTGGTATCAAACTTAGAATTCTTCTGCTTCAGCCTTCTAAGTGATTCTTATCCTTTTATGTTTTTGTTTCAATTTGAATTTGTATCTGATTTTCTATATATCTGATTTTATATGCATATGAATCTTTAATTTCTCAAAAATATAAATGGGGAGCATTGGTAAGGAGATTAAAGCTCATTTGTTTACTTTATTTTCTTCTTTGTGTCTCTGTATTTAGAAAAAAACTGGTACATGTCATTATTTTAAGGTAGAAAAGAGGAAAATCTCAATCTGCTCTCTCCATTCATATTAACATAACTTCCAGCCAGACAATCTATTACCTGCAATTCTGCAAAACAAAGGAGGTTGTTTCACTTTCTTATAATTCTAGGCTTTCCTTTTCGAAACTGTTCTACATAAGTGGACATATATAATTATTTACCGCATATTTTCAAACTGCAAATTTGATAAAGTATTAAGTATTATCTTCTATAAACAAGATACTTATTGTCAGAGTATATAAGATTCTTGAACATCATTTTCTGTCATTCCTTCCAAGTACTCCTGGTTGTAGTAGATATCTGACTAAAGAGCTCAATTCCTTATACAATGCCTTTCTGAAATAATAGAGCCAAAATTTTCTTAGAAACCATTGTAGCTTAATTAGGAAGTAAACTGGAAGTATTACTAAGGTGAGTAGACATATTTGTCTATTTACATATAACTAAGGATTTGTATGTTTCCCTTCTGAAAAGTTTCAATTTACCTGGCATTTTATAAGTTACTGCATCCTAAAATTTAAAAATGACATGTCGTATTGGATATAGCTGTAGTAACTTGTTATCACTGTGCAAAAGTAAATAAAGAATGGGGGGGGGGAGAATGACGGTCTTTTGTAGTTACTGGTCTTCTAAATTAGCCACTCCCCCACAATCACACCTGATAGTAGATGCTGATAATTTCCCAGGAAAGAATAATAATGAGTTAAATAGGTAGGAAAGAGAAACATGGCAAGAAGCACCACAATATCATCTGCCTAATAATTATAAAAAGGAAATAAGGGCTCTTGACTCTAATAAATATTTTATTACACTGCATCAGTAAGATAAATCTATGGAGGCATTCATTGGGAAACTTAAAACGATAAACATAGCTTTTATTTTGTAATCTGGACAAAGCCCAAATGATGACATATTTTGAAAATGTCATAATGTTTATCACTGCAAAAGCTTCTGGTCTGAATTATTTAATAGGAACTTAGCTGAATTAAAAATATTCTTGCCATCACTTTTGAATAGCTGATAAGAAGTAATGACTTCATATATCAATCAGTTAGTATTCTGTATCATTTCTTTATTATTGAGTTTCCTAATGTTTGAGTAATTCTTTAGAAACCTAGGAGCTTGTTTTCTTCTAGAATGATAAGATAGCCTAAGTCTTATAAAACACTGAACTGAAGCATGAGGAAGAGGAATTCTTGTCTGCCTCCCATGCCCTCAAACTATGGATGATGCTTTCTGATAAAAATACAAATTGTACAGAAATATGCTTCAACTTGTAATCCTTTTTAAAAATGAAAGGTCTTTTTTATTTTTATGTTTTTGGTCATGGGACTTGAACTCAGGGCCTAGGTGCTGTCACTGAGCTCTTTCACTCAAGGATAGCGCTCTACCACTTTAAGCTACAGCTCCACTTCTGAAAGGGCTTTTTATTTATTTATTTTTAAATCTAAACCTCAGTCGACATTTCTTTTCTTTTCTTTTGTTTTGGTTGGTATTGAAGTTGGTATTATGCTTTCTACGCAGATGCTCTATCATGTGAGCCACACCACCTCCAAGCCTTAAAATTCTTTTTTTTAATCTTCTAATATTTATTTTTTAAATTTTATTTTATTTTCAAGGTGATGTAAAGAGGGGTCAGAGTTACATATGTAAGGTAGTAACTACATTTCTTGTCAAACATTGTTACCCTCTCCCTCGTTTTTCTCCCACAGGCCCTAAAATTCTTTCAAACATTTCTAATGTAAGGAAAAAGTTTGATGATAGGCTCTATAGGTTTTCTTTTTGATTTTATGTGTGCTTTATATATTATGGGTGCAAAACTAGGAAGTCAATCACTTGAGGAAGACAAATTTCCACCCCCAGTCTCAAGAAAATCCATCCATATGATTATGGAAGCACAGAAGAACAACTTAAAAAACAAACAGAAAATTAAATACTGTTAAAGCAGGATTTATTTTATTTCAATATATATTTACTCCAATAAAATAGTTATTATTGTTAAAAAAATCTTACCTGCTACTGAATTTGGCCGTGGCATGAGATACAAAGGAATAGATTGTACAGACTGAGATAAAACCGTTTCCAAATTTCTCTCTGGGATCTTGTTCAGACTATATGTGGAGGCAGTCATGTTTTCATCTACTCGATATAGACAAGAGTCCATGCTAGATTTTTGAGACTGCCAAGGTTTTAGGTTTCCTCCAGATCCTAATTCTTTATTGCTTTCTCCAACATATTTTGTGCGTTCAACATTTTCAGAATAGCTTGTCAGTGTAGCTGAAAGGGAAAAAAGATTAGAGTTTTAAAGAAATCAAAACAATTTGTTTGTAACTATCATAATTCATGATTAGATGAGAATATTAGTAACATTTTTTAGGTCTTTTAAAAATGATTACTTTTTAAAAAATATCCCAAATAGTTGCACAAAGAGGTGGTAATTCAACATGTTCAGTTACGTGTACAATCCATCCTGGTTAGTATCACCTTCTCCCTCTCATGTTTTCTAATCTTACCCATCTCCTTAAGTGACCTGGCTTCATTTTCACATAAGCAGCATTATATTTTTAGTCACTGATGATCATTTTCACCTCCAGAAACTTAAATAACTGAAACTAAAATAAAAGCACATCGCAAATATATTTAAGAAGTCTACCTAAATGGACTAAGCAAATTTATGTGTTAGTGCTAAGGGACCTACAGAAAGAGTATATCCATGTTGCTATTGTTTCTAATGTATTTATAAAGTACCATTTTGATTTTTTGTTGCTTTGTGTTTCCCTCCCTCATGGTATAACTCCTGTTTTCACTGTATTTGATGTTGGTATAATTTGGGGAGGGAAAGGGAAAAAACAAATTGTTTAAATAGGGATACAGGTTGACCCATTACAACAATGTGAAGCACAAGACGCTATGTTGGAAAACGAACTTTACAATTTAGGTGGGGTTGGGGGGTTGAGGGGTGGAGTGTAGTTGAGGAGGTGGAAGAGAAGGGATGGTAGGGGAAAAAGAAAGGAGGAGGCAACAATGCTTGATAAGAAATGTACTCATTACCTTGCTCATGTAACTGCAACCCCTCTGTACAGTATTTTCACAATAAAAAACTTATCAAAAAGAGTATATCCATGTTAAATGTTTCAGAATTCATCAAAAATGTATTTATATAATCTAGGTTATTGGAGACTCTCAGAGAACACTCACATCAAATTTCTATATTATTTTCATCCTTTTCTTTCATCCATTTAAGTTCATCACTTGGTCTCTTATGTGTAACAAAGAATTAGAATAAAATTAAAACTAAGTAGAAGTTAATAATATAGAAAGAACTTGCCCAAATAAATAAGCAATACATGTCCTTCTTGAATAGCCTTTCTCATAGCTCTAATCCTTTATACATCATTTCTCAGTAGCTGCTGAAGAATAATGTCTTTAATTAAAGAACTGAATTGTCTGACAGAATTTTATCCAAAACTGTACATGAATAGGAACATTTTCATCAACTCCAGAAATGAAAGCATTAAAATATTAAAATATAGATTATAAAATTTCCAGCAATAATTCTTTTTTTTTTTTTTGTCGGTCGTGGGGCCTGAACTCTGGGCCTGGGCGCTGTCTCTCAGCTCTTCAGCTCAAGGCTAGCGCTCTACCACTTGAGTCACAGCACCACTTCCAGCTTTTTCTGCTTATGTGGTGCTGAAGAATCGAACCCAGGGCCTCATGCATGTAAGGCAAGCACTCTACCACTGAGCCACCTTCCCAGCCCCCAGCAATAATTCTAAAAGAATAATTCTCCATGGAAATGTTTTTATAGGTAGTTCATTTTCTCTTCCTACATTCAAATGTACCTATTGCAAAAGAAAAGATTTACACTCATGAGACAATTTCCACAATACTTTTTAGTGAGGTTTTTTTTCTCTGTAACTTTAAATAGAATTCTTGATTTTGTACTAAAAGGAAAGATAGATTACCAAAAAAACCTAAAATTTTCTGTAAGAGAGTAAACTTGTGTTGTCATAAAAATCAAATGGCTATGGAAGAAGAAAGTTAATTAGGAAAGGTGGAAACATGAGAGGAGGAGAAATTATATATAAACACACACACACATTCAATTCTCAGAATTAAGAGAGAGAAGATGGAATGTATTTTTGGGTCCTACTTGAGAAAGAAAATAAGAAATATCATGCGATATCTTTGAAAACACAAAGATTATAGAAGCTAAGTTCCCACATTTACTATACTGTATTTCCTGATTAGCAATTAGTTGTAAAATTCTCAAGAAACAGACAACTTAGGTTCATTGTGAGAAGACAGCTAAGGAAATGAGAACAGATAAAATGACATTCTGCATTTTGGCTAGTCTTATAACCAAAGACAAATCAAGGCAAGTAGAAACAAAGGATAATGCATATGGGTGCCAATTTTGTAAAGGAAAAAAATCAGTTTGAAACTCATAAAATCTCTCAAAAGAATAGTGTGAGCAAATTAGAGACTAAAAAGTAACTCAGAGTCCAATAGCCTGTGGTGTTTTTTTTTTGATAACTACTAAACACCCAGAAACAGCTATGTGCTAAGCAATGCTCCTTTTTTTCTGCTATATAATAAGCTTTCATAATATTAACAATCATAGGAAGTTTGTACTTAACACTATAACATTTATTGTCTGCGCTAAGGACTGAAGCAGAACTTCATGCATACTAAGCACATGTTCAACCACTGAGCTATATTTCATGTCCCATTTTATTATTTTAAATTGTGTAAGTATCCATTATCTCTTTTGGTCATTAGTATAATAACTCTAAGCAGGGAGTGTTTTTACTATCCTTATTACATACCTGGGGAAACATATGCTTGACGAGATTTGGCATCCTGTTCACCTTGTTAAAAGGATAGCAAGAAACATTTGGGTTAGCTAACAATTTGGGTCTTAATCTAATGTTGTCACTTAACTCTTTTGCAGATATGCCTTGCCCTCTTCACTGTACATTTTGAGAAGGTAAAATATGTAGTTTCAAGGGTTTTTCAGATTTAAATAATAAAAGAATCCTTTATCATCAGCTCTGTAATACCTTCATGATAAAGAGAGGTTAAACAAGTCTAAAACTCTGTTACCATCTGCAAAAATTACAAAGAATTATTGAGCAGTAAAGCACCCTCAGGTGCTACAGTAGTTTTGGAGAATGCTCCAACCAACAAAATGTAAGAGGTAAGAAGTAAATTAGCTCATTCTTCATTGCAATATTTTCTAGCACTTACATTAAAAATATTTCTACTAAAGATATAAATATATTTGTTACCTGGGTAATTATTTAAGCAAATAAACTGCCTAACTTCTGCAAAAGAAAAAAATCTTAGAGGATGTAACTTAGAGATATATATTAAGCTTTGAAGAGTGGATCCAGAACTGGTGAAATGTTTGTCACTACTCTGCCAAGTACAGGACATGGTAAAGACTCTGTTTGTGTGTATGTGTATGTATGTATGTATGTATGTATGTATGTATGTATGTATGTATGTATGTATGTGTGTGTGTGTGTGTGTGTGAAAGAGGGGGGAAGAGAGGGAGGGAAAGAGAGGAGAGAGAAGAGGGGGGAGAGAGAGGGAGAGAGAGAGAGAGAGAGAGAGAGAGCACAGTAGTGGGGGAGGAAATCAGTAGAAATGTCCAATCAGGTGTTCTATTTCAGGGTACTGCTAAATAATTAAATAGATGCTGAACAATCAGATTTTGAGAAGGCTGTAGTTTTAACAGTACTCAAAGACTTCAATAAAAGTCCTTGTAATACATTTCCCAACTCCTCGTCATTCCAAATAACAATCTCATATTCACCTAAATTTAGACATCTGTTTTGACTAATTTAGAACATTTGATCAGGTAAATTAGGGAAAATAATATTTTATACAGAGAAGAAATGCATGCAAAGGCAGAGATACAAAAGACAGCACTTCTTTGAAAGAAACTAAGCTCAATAAGGCTAAGAAGTAGAATTTGGTGATATAGTTGGGACCAGAAGCATGCTGACAAAAGTTTAACACTGCCTTTCTCAAAACAAAGGCAAAAGCAACAACAGTAAATTCTGATTTATCTGTAGTGTTTGCTGAACCCCTGGTATAAATGTAAACTTGGTGTGTGATTTTAAGCTATGATTTCACAACTAATCAGCTCAGAGAACTAAGAAACTTCAACAAGTAGATTTTTCTGGTAATATTTGGCTGTAGCAAACTACTTGGTAAAGACATACAGAATAGACATAGACCAGGTTAGACTGTTACTTGTAGACCATATTTTAATTTTACTTTATCCTGTTTATCCTAAGGGCAACTGAGGAACATGATTAAAAGATTTGAGGGTCATAATCAAATTTCCAGCTTAAAAATTACCTTAAAACCAGGTGCCAGTGGCTCTTGCCTGTAAGTTTAGCTACTGAGGAAGCTGAGATTTGAGGATCATGGTTTGAAGCCACCATAGGCAGGAAAGTCAGGAGACTCTTACCTCCAAGTAATCCCAAAACCAGAAGTGGATCTGTGGCTCAAGTGTTGACAATGTTTTGAGCAAAAAATCTCAGGGTCAGTGTCCTGGCCCCTAGTTCAAGGCACTAGGATGGGAACACACACACACATACACACACACACACACTCTCTCTCTCTCTCTCTCACTGTGGTTTAAATGAGGAGAATAAGAAAAGTATTGTTTTAACCCCCCCTTTTAAAAAATATCACAGACCTCTATGACACTGAGGATGCCTAATGAAACTTTAAAAAATTATTAGCTTTATTAGTGTGTGTTAATTGTACAAATGAGTTTCATTGTGCTATTTCCATACATAAACAATGCAAATTTGATTATATTCCATTACTTTATCTCCCCTCACTTCCCCCTTCTTTGTACAATTCTTAAAAGTTTCATTATTCTGTTTCCATACGTGTAGATAATATACTTTGATTATATTCACCCATCCCATCTCACTGATTCACCTCAAACAGTTCCTTTTTTACTTTCCTATCATTTTGTTTTTAGATTTAGATTTCACTTATGTCAGAAAACATGTGGGAGGATTGGGTGGGGGTGCGGGAGAGGATGGGACAGGGAAACAAAGGAGGAGGCTACAATGCTTGATAAGAAATGTACTCATTGGGGCTGGGAAGGTGGCTCAGTGGTAGAGCGCTTGCCTTGCATGCCTGAGGCCCTGGGTTCGATTCCTCAGCACCACATAAGCAAAAAGAAAAAGAAGTGGCGCTGTGGCTCAAGTGGTACAGCGCTAGCCTTGAGCTGAAGAGCTGAGGGA